TATTCTGTTATTTCACGCTTTATATTATAAGAGCGTAGACCTTCTCCGGTGTAGTACTTTACTTGATATTTGCCATAATTGCCGCGCTAGTCATGCGGATTGGCAACCACAGTTTTTTATTTTCATTTTTAGTCGTTATTACGAAGACGCTGCTGCCCATCTCCTGATTTGTTTCCAACTGTCGCCTCTTACGACAACCACAGGATGATATGGGGTAGTGGATATTTTAACACCGCTACTACACGGTCTATCAATCTAACACATCCTATGGTAATTTCTGATGTAACTCTACATTCTCATACCCCGGATTAGCTATACTTTCTATGATATAAGGTCATCAAACATCTAAATGCTCCCGTAAACATGAGTGCAACAAAGCACGAAATCGCGGGAATTAAAATAAGTGTCGCCCGTGGCGCCCCTTGACACCGACGCTCTAGGCGACCGAGCGGCTCGCCCTCCTCTAAAGCCGTCACAAAAAGCACGCATATTTTGTACTAAATTATACTACCTACAATCAAAATTTCAAACATCACGCTTTTTAGTTTTATCAAAATAATAAACTATCTTATGTATAACTTAGACGAAATGATAATAAATCGACATTGTATTGATGTAAAATAAACATAAGGGAATGGTCGAAAATGCGACCTAGCTCCTGAACAGAAAAACCGATTTTGATTTAGTTTTTGTCATTTGAAAGTGTTCTTAGTTATGTTTTAAGAAAATCTAATCAGTATGTTGAAGATCGTAAGCTCTTTTTGTTTAGGGATTTTTAAATTTTAAATTTTAGTTATTATAACATTTTATACTTTGTATAACTTAAGGTAATATAAAATCTCAATAAACAAAACATAAATATTGTGTGCTAAACAAAACAGTCATTAAGTCTATAAGCTGATTTAAATATGTTGCATTCATATCGATTATCTCCCGAGCTCCTGACCTACTTAGTAACTAAAATCCCTTAAACCAGGCTTTAGAGAACGAGTACTTTTGTGTTTATTCAGTAAATCAATAATCAGAGTTCGAGATACTTATATAATTTTGATAATTAATATGTTCCAATAGGACCTAACAGTTAATCAAGACATAACTTAATAATATTCAAGTAATACATATGATCAACCCAATTCTTTTAAAAATAAAATTAAATAAAACCATAATTTCTTGATAATTTAATGTTTGGAAAATATAATTCCGTTTTTCAAACGGTACCGAAATGGTAGTGTCGAGCGCCACTCACGAACATGCAATACCAGGAGAATCGAAGGTGCGTTGCCGGCCATTAAAAAATGAGTAAGCTAAGCTCGTTTCTCGAAGGTCCCCAAGTCGTATCGGTTCGGAATGATGATCGGAAAATAGATGAAAGAAATTGTGAGAGTATACCGGTTTTGTATTTTTTCAGCCAAAATTCTGTTTCTTTATCGACGCAAAAAAGTACTCAGCTGAACGAGGTCCTCCCACTTTGCAAAGAGGATCTGCCTTAATCGCCACGCTTGGCAGGTGGATTGGCGATCACAGTACCAGACATCTTGCACCTTAAGCGCTACTTCCCGTCACTGATCTGGGTATATTACGTCTGGCTTTAACGATATGATTATACCGTCATCTGTCGGAAGCCATTAAAGCCATCTTTCCCGCTTTTCTCATAGTCGCCTCTTACGTCACTCTCGGGGTGAAACGGGGTAATGTATTCTCTCACGCCACAAGCACACAGCTTACTCAAGTATAATATTAATTATAAAATAAAAGTGCCCCATAGTTACCCGTGTAGTAGCGGGTAAGAATGCCACCTTCCCCATATCTTCCCGTGGTTGTCCTAAGAGGAGACAGAGGGAAACTGAGGCAGAAGATGGGCAGCAGCATCTTTCTGATAACACCAAAAGAACAATAAAAAACTACGGTTGCCAAACCGCTCACTAAGCGTGGCAACTATGGCAATATACCCCCCATGACTAAAGTTACGAAGAGACGGCCCCCAGTCCCCGGTGGCCCCGCTATTTCTGGCTACGGTGGCAACCATGGTAGCAGCGGGGCAAGAGGTGCCAAGAATCTCAGATGGAGGTACGGTTGCCACCTAAGACGACTCGACCTGGGAACATATAACGCACGCACCCTGAGGACTGACGTGAAGATACTGGAGCTTGAAGAAGAGATAAACAAGTTGCGCTGAAATATTATAGGATTATTTGAGGTCCGAAGAGAGGGGGAGGACATGCCAGATGCCAGAAAGAGCCAACTGTCGAAGCTGAAGACCGAGTGTGGCAGCGTCGTTTCTGGAACACCTGAGATTTTGAGTGAGATTGAGAGGTTCTATGAGCAGCTGTACACATCATCGTTGGAGCCATACGCAAGTGTGAGTAACGATACAAGAGCAAATCTTATCCGACATTATTCCGATGATATACCGGACGTCAGTCTGAGTGAGATTAGAATGGCTCTCCAGCACCTTAAAAACGGCAAGGCCCCAGGTGAGGATGGAATTACAGCGGAGCTTCTAAAAGCGGGTGGAAAACTGGTACTTGAAGTCCTTCAGAAGCTCTTTAATTCTGTCCTCCATGGTGGCACTACATCGGATGCGTAGAGCAGAAGTGCGGTGGTCTTGTTCTTCAAGTAAGGCGACAACGCTCTCTTGAGGAACTACAGACCAAGTTCCCTTCTAAGCCGCGTCTATGTGCTATTCTCTAGAGCCATTACGAATCGTCTCTCATGCAGACTCGAAGGCTTCCAGCCTCCCGAACAAGCCCGTGTCCGAAAATGCTTTAGCACCATAGACCACATACATACCCTTCGGTAAATTGTACAAAAGTCCAAGGAGTACAATTTGCCACTATGTCTGGCGTATATTAGACTATGAGAAAGCCTTTGATTCCGTCGAAATATGGGCGGTGCTGCAGTCCCTTCAGCGGTGCCAAGTATATCGAAGTGCTGAAGTATTTGTATAGTAGGGCTACGAGTAGTGGTAGTAGCTATCCGAATACAGAACCAGCTCGAAGCTCGAAGAACCGAAAACCGATGGGGAAGAAAGGTTCTCGAGTAGCAGCCTTGTACCGGTAGGCGAAGTGTAGGACGTCCCCCCACTAGATGGAGTGACCACCTGGTAAAACATGGAGGGAGGTGATGGATGCAGATGGCTCAGGACCGTGCTTTGTGGCATTCCTTGGGGGAGGCCTATGTTCAGCAGTGGATTTGTGAAGGTCTGTAATGATGATGATGATTATTAAATAAAAGAGTTAATTATAAAACTAAAGAGAATTGATAATGGAAGCATATTTTAATTCTTATTTCTTAATTTTTCAGAAAAGAGGATGTTCTTTTTTGTTCGATAGGGTCAAAAGAATTCTGAAAAATATTTGGAAAAGATCCTAGCATTCCATTTCAGTCCTCAAGAGGAACAACGCAACTGATTTTTTAATCACAATCGTGTATAGATGAAGATTTCTGAGGGTCACAGCATCTGGTTGTTATCAGATGGACTCTGTAGTCGTTTATCGTCCTTAATTGTACAAATGGTAAAATTAAAAATTTTATACAAGCGACTTCAACATAAATAAAATGATTAAATACGTATTACTAAGAAAAATCAAAAACAACTGGTCAGATCTTGATCAAATTTATATTGGACCATATGAGAAGCACCAGCTTTCAAAAAAAAGAATTATCTAAATTGGTTCACCTAGAAAAAAGTTCTGAGGTAACACACATAAAAAACGTGTGTATGTGTGTGTTTCTGTCTGTGTGTGTACTTATATATGTTCGTAAGAAGTCATACACTTCTTTAGCGTAACAAAACAAAAATTACTAAAATAAAACACGTTTTATACATTCGTATATATTTGAATAACTACCTTGAATATATTTATCAGTTCTCACGAAAGAAGTGTAACTTCTAAAATACAGTCGAATTGGGAACCTCCTTCTTTTTTGAAGTCGGTTAAATAAAAAAGACAAAACCTACAGCTTTGTCTATTACTACTTGTTTTTACATTTCTAAGAAAATGAGACAAAGATAAACTTTCTTTTAAAGCGAACAAAACTCAATAAAAAAACGTTATAAGACTTATCATGGCTTTTGAACAACATTTCGTGTACATACGAGTAATGTATGTGGTAATAATACTGAGTTATTTTAAAATAGATAAATTCATTTAAAAGTTGTGAAGATGATTTTTTTGATCCACAATTTTTTGCCGCGGCGAACCATTTTAACAAGGCTACTTTTCATCGCTTTTTATTACAGCTTTACTGAAACTGACTTTTTCGTTATTGAATCTCGCTTCGCTAACGAACCCGAAAAGCGACTCTTTCGCATAATGAATTGAAATTTCATATCACATTTTTATATTTATTATTTACTTAAAAATGTATCATCTATAATATGTAATACATGTATGGATACTATACATGGAGAGAGCCACGGTCGTGATTTTTCTGTGTATAATAGACTTAGAAATGTCAAAATCCGCAGTAGAGCTAGAGTAACCGACATAGCCCAACGGATTAGGTTGAAGTGGCAATGGGCTGGCCATATAGCTCGAAGAACTGACAACCGATGGGGAAGAAAGATTCTCGAGTGGTAACCTCGTACCGTTAAGTGAAGTGTAGGGCAATAAGCACCTACATCTTCAACAACACCTAATTATTCAGTTAAGAATCAAATTACAGATCTGCAATTTGATGGATGGACTAAGATGGAGTGCCTCATTTCCAGTAAAGAGGGTTCTGTACACTCACCATACGAAACACAGCAGCATTAAGCTGCTATATTACATTGGTATTTGTGAGAGTGAAGTCCTTGCCCGGTCGAGTCGAGGCCTTCTTGCTACAACCATAATATAGCTGCAGCCTGGCTTTACCACGTGCCAAAAAAGATAGTTAGTTATCTAAATGCTTAAGTAATATATTTTTTTTTACATTTCATATCATCATCATTTTCATCATCATCATCGTTACAGCTATTAACAAGTCCAAGGCTGAGCTTAGGCCTCCCCCAAAAAATGTTACAAAACATGGGCCTGATCCACCTGCATCCATCGACTTCAACGACTTCATCTAGTTCATCTACTGGTTACCTATACTGCGCTCGCCGGTAGTAGGTTGCCTCGCGAGAAGCTTTCTTCTAAGCTAAGCTCGCTGAGCCATAAGGGCAAGCTTTATGGCTTTCTAATAATAGACATCTCAGATCTATATTTCTATCACTGGCAACACGCACTCTCGTTTTCAAGGTCTTTCATATAAAAATATCATTAAAATTGCACCCCAAATACATTCCTATTATGCGCAGAGCCCCTTAGTTTCTTAAGTTCTTTCCGATCAGCTTGACTCACTGGCACTGCGTAGAGATGTTGCATCAATTTGCGTATTTTATCGCATCTACCATGGGGAGTGCTCTAAGGAATTGTTTGTACTAATGCCAGCCGCTCAATTTCATCATCGCACATCGCGACAAAACTCGCGATACCATCCATACCATCTGGATGATTGGCGGTGCACCACTGTGCGATTTAGAAGATATTTTCTTCCTCACACAACTTCCTTGTGGAATCAATTAGCGATTTTTCCGGATCGATACGACTTAGAATATATATATATAGATTAAGAAAAGAGCTTACTCCTTTTTAAAAGGCCGGCAACTCATCTGCATTTTCCCTGGTTCCCTTGGTGTTGCAGTTGGTAGTCACTTACCATCAGGTGAGCCGCTTTCTCGTTTAGCTCGCTCACTCGCTCGTTAGAAATTATCCATTGCAATAATGCGAAATGACGAACTTCACTCTAAAAATGAGTTGCCGCCATATTCTTATTTAGAATTTCATATCTGCCGAAAAGGATTGAACTTTCGCGTAATGAAAGTTAAAACAAACGTCCAACACAATTTAATATTCAAATCACCTACGTAATGAAGATGTTCAAAATCAACCCATTCATTTAAGTCGCCCAGGAATGAAAACAAGAGATAGTTGATTTTGAGTCGAGATTCAATGTAAGTAAATATCATGAACCAAGTAACTACTCTGAATATTCATTTATTGAGTTGAGTAGACGCTTTCCCTTGAATATGCAAATAAAACTCTTCACGTAACACTGGCATCAAGAATATTAAAACATTATATACCACGCAATGTTTGACATATTACGTAAATAAACTTCAGTACTATTACTTATTCTGAGTTTCAGTCTTATATGTGAAATCCGTTGCTTAAATATTGAAATTTTGTGGAAAACAATACATTTTAACTATATATGAAAGATGAAAGCAAAAAAATTAGACCGGCAAACACTACGATAAAGAGAAAATCAATGCACAGATACACAATAAATTGTTTATGACTGATGTGGAATGTTATTTTTAATCCATAGTACGTAAACATTAATATTCGGGTAGTAGATAGTGATAACATTACCACGTAACGTGCGGTTCGCTCATGCCATATATTTTTTATTTTATACTAGCTGTTCAACACGACTTCGCCCGCGTATAATTTAGATTTTTAATTTTTTTGCGCGGTACTCTAACGCTTTTTCTTTAATAATGGTAACTTAAGTTACTACTTATAACATCAGCTGTCTGCCGGTGAAAGTCCCATCAAAATCGGTCAACCATTTCGGAGATTAGCCGGAACAAACAGACAGACAGACAAAAATTTAAAAAAATTATGTTTTTGTTATAGGTACCGTATATACTTTCACATGAATTTAGTGAAAAGCTGTTAATTTGACATTACAAACAGATAATCCAATTTAATTTAATGGTATAGATGTATAGATGATGTCATATAAATAATAACAATCCAGTATTTTTCAACTATATACATTTTAATAGATAGATAAATTTATAAAAGTTGTTCTGAACGCAAATAATACACTAATGTCAGAGCTATTTTTCTAGATTTTATGATTGTCATTATTCTATGCTTTCTGGGCTGTCTCGGTTCACTATTAATTTTCGTAAATGTACTTTGTGCGCAGTAATTAGAGAACTAATAAATAAAATAATTTCGAGTTTGCTTTGTTATTTCTTCATATTCAAATACAGCTCATTATAATTCTAAGAGAAAATCCGCACACTGCAATGATTCTGCTGCATTGGGTGCCACAACGGAATTTCGCTGCGTCACCGGCGGTTTTAGCTCTAAAGTGCATGTTGCAGTAATGTAGTACATAATATGTCAAACATTGCGTGATATATAATGTTTTAATATTCTTGAGGCCAGTGTTACGTGAAGAGTTTTATTATGATTATATCAGGAACGGGTCAGCGCCACCGGGGAAGAACCACGCTCTCACAGAATACCAGAGTAAAATAGTAGCGTAATGGTGCTGTATCTCGTATGGTGAGTGTTGAGTACCGGAGAAACTTTTAACTGATAACGAGTGTTAAGAGTGAGGGTAGATAACTAATAAACGTTTACAACTCCCCCAATCGTTCAAGCAGTAAAAAGTACTGCGCATACAACTAGCTTAAGTCATTCAAGGAGTCTGAATTGTTGTCGTGATTTTGTCTATCGTGGTAATTCTTTTAGTACCAAGTACCAGCACAGAAGGTGTAGTTGCAGTGAGGCTGGCCTATGTAGCATCGTGATTGCCGGTATTTCTGTTGGTTTACATACTTCATTTATTTTGGTGATATATAATATATTCTATGATAATATAATATATTGTATTTACTTCTAATGCACTTCACGAACATTTAAAGTAAAGTTCATTTATTTAAATAGTTAAGTAAGAGTATTGTTTAACACGAGGCAATCTATCTTAGTACTCAGGGATGGCACCGTGTTGTCATACCTCGGATTGTTATATGTAAGAACTGCAGCGGAACCGCCCAAGCGATGTGAAGCCACCGCGACGAACCCTGTGACCTCGCTCTTTGTTCATGTTCATGCATATATGCATAAAGAGGATTTATATAATTAATAAAATAAAATAATGAATAAATTAAAAAAATGTGATTCAATGTCATTTTTGAATCATGTTGTAATTTGATTCATTTGCGTGTGCGGTGCAATTTTTTTTTCAGTAATAATGTTTCCTTTCTCATTGGAATCGCGTCTATATATATATATATATATATGGTGGTCTTATTGCTATATAGCAATCTCTGCCAGACAACCCAGAAGAAGAATTAAATATAAAAATAACATCCCTCATTCATCATTATTTCTGCAGTATTTACTTTGAACGTGCCAGTTTTTTAAACATGTCTGTGAATATATAATATATTGTCTATATTTACGTCCCTGTCTGTAAATAAATTCTTAATTTTGAAAACAGTGCAGTCTGATTTTTTTTTATTTATTTTAAAACTCTATTGCTTCTACTTTAAAATAAGGTATAATACGAGTATATACAGTAATTTATTTTGAACATGCCGTTTTTTAAACATGTCTGCGAATATATAATATATTGTCTATATTTATGTCCCTGTTTTATACAAATTCTTAATTTTGACAACAGTTCAGTCTGATTTTTTTGGAACTCAGTTGTTTCTCCTTTAAAATAAGGTAACAAATGTTGAACCGGCAAAGAATTTCGTCTTTCTTTTCTTTCCCTATTCGCTTAATTCGAACGTCAACTTCCAATTTTTTCCCTTATTTTATTGCCATAAATACAGTAAAAAAATATACCCAGTTCGACGACGGTTTAGAGCGTCAAAATTGTGAACTATCTGGTACTACCTCGCTTACTCAAGGTAACGGCAAGTCATCTCTAATGCTGTGTGAGACTTTAATGTCCAGCAGTAAAGCATTTGTCGATTGATCAAGTTAGTGCTTTTAGGTAAGCGAATAGGACTATTTCTGCCTAGGAGTACCTTGGGGTGGGTACCATCCTCTTACATATTTCTGCCACTAAATAAGAGTGCTTGCTGATGCATTTCAGTCTGAGAGGTGCAGAGAGCTAGTATAATTACAATCTGTGAGTTCTTGGTCTTCAGAGGTGACAAAGCACCTGTAGCGTTCTTTAATTGGACTCAGTTGAGAGTTTTGGCGGGAACTTGACCGGCGTCGGTTTGCTGCTCCTGTATTATTGTTTAAATAATGGTTTGAAGTGGACTTTGATATGTAAAAGTGGTGCGATTTTGTGTATTAAGTGTCTGTGCATGTGAACTATTAGTGGAAACTGTGAAACAAGTGCTCTAATGGTGATGTGACTCTCAAAATAAGGTGTCTGTCTGCTTAGGCACCTTGAGATACCATCGCCAACCGTCAGCTCTCTGCTGGCTCAAGTTACCGTCAAAATCTCCCAAGGACTGCACAATCTGACGCATCAACATATTGTGAAGCAGTATACTATGAAGGATAATTATTATAATATATTGTAACTTCAGGCTCAGAAGGGCTAGATCCCAGAGTCAGTTATTAGAAGCCAGTTATTAAGAAGAAGAAGAGGACTCAGTTGCAGGTGTCCATGGACTGCAGTAGTCACTTACCATCAGGTGGATTGTAAGTTCGTTTGTCGCTTTGGTTTCATAATAAACGTATATAGTATCACAAAGTTAGATACTTCAAAGTTGTGAAATTAAGGTTATATTAGAGCAATAAGCTAACGGATGTTATTAATAACAGATCCCGAAGCTCGAGCTATCTCCGGAAATAGCTTCTTAAACGCGTACTCGAGACCTCCTCTCTTTACTTTGTTTAAAGTAAACACTTTACTTCCATTTTAATTACATTCAAAACTTTACATGTGTTGAAATATAAAAAATATAAACACGACCGAGTAGATCTCGCGTCCTTTCGAATAAACTTAATTACATATGTATATAGATACTTGTAGTCCATCCGTCCCGGGTTTAGAAAGTATCGAAGATTTTTACCTGTTTTCGTGTAAACGATACACGATTTTTTACTTTACAGCATTTTCCCCAATGTCATAGTTAACCACGGCTACCTCCAAATTAAAAATTATTAATTAAACTATGACATTCAGACGTCATACACCTCAGTCCCCCCGTTACCATGGGTGCTGTAAAGTACTCGAAACGTCGGGAATATAAAAAAGTTAATATACGCGATAAAATCCGTAAAATTAGTTTTATTTAAATGTGTAGTGTTCGCGTAAATATAAGA